AAAAAAAAAAATCAAATTATCAACTTGTAAAACTGATTCTGGGGGAGACATTCTTTCCCATGAACTTTTCTTGGTAAAACATCAATGATTTCACCACTCACCCACCTAAGCTTCACCATAAATATGATGTTTGTTTTTCCTCTAAATTTTAGCAAAATGCATGCTGTTCTAATAGAAGCTCTTCTCAAACAGATGCCTTGTCCTTTGTGCCTTAAACTAGATCCTGTCCAGAGATGTTTAGCATGTTACTTGAAGCTGATTTTCAGTGTGAACTATATTTTAAATCCATGCATTATTTTTCATAATATGAATTTTCCATGAAAAATGTGAAAGCCCTGCCTGCAATACGAACACAGATACACATTTCTCATTTGAGATCTGTGTCTATGGTCTTGCACAAACAAAGCTGCTCTGCATTCTGGCCTTTGCTACACAGATAATTTCCTCATTGTTCTCTGGAAGGTAGTTCTAGTTCTTCTCTCCGATACACCAAAATATAAATCAAATACAGATAAAAGACACCATAACAGGGTTAACTTTTCAGCACTGGAAATCTTATTCCCTCTGTAATAAATCCGAGGTGCCTGGTGGTCAAGTGGTTCTGTGTTGGGCTGCTAACCACAAGGCCAGCAGTTTGAAATGACCGGTTGCTCTGAGCGAGGAAGAGAGAATTCTGTTCCCTTAAGATTTATAGCCTTACAGACCCACAGGGGCAGTTCTTTACCGTCTTCTAGGGCCACTCTGAGTCAGAATCAACTTGACGGCAGTGAAGAGAGGCATGTTCTATAACGCTTTAGGTAAGCCCATTATGTCACGCTGTCCTGTTGAAGCATTCGCTAAGGCTTTACACAGATTCGTCTACAAAGGAGATGGCAGCCTTACCTGCCAAACAGAGAAAGCAAACAGGAGGTCCTGGGCACTAATCAGCATGTCATCATCGACCATTAACACCGCTGAAACACAGGAGGGGGCGGGGGAGGGGGGCTTGAGTTTTGGAAATGAAAACAAAATTTATAAGATAAAACAGTGTTATTACATAAATCATTCAAAAGATGTATGAGCTGAACTGATTAGTAAATAAGAGATGCATTCCTGGAGAGATTTGTGTAGCATACAAAGTTTTGTACTTAAATTGTAATTGATTTTATAACTTCCCAAGGGGAAAACTACCATCTAGTTATCATCCATCATCCTAGAAAGTAATGAAACTATAAATAAGGAACACGGAGATTCTTCCAAGCAAATTACAACCTCCTGAAACTACTGCGAATGGGATAGTGACAGAAGACACAGCAAGCACAAGTGAATTAGCCACTTCCGACCTTCTGTAATGTGGTAATAATATGTGATCCTACTGCATCTTTTTCTGCAGTGTTTACCTGTCATTACTGCAAGATGCATGTGCTTTCCTCCCCAGGACCCTGCTTCTAGTCACGCTGCAAAGTGTCCGTAAGCACTGCATAGTGCTTTCCTGTGACAAGCGGAGGCCCAGAACCAGCATGCACAGCCCGGCCCTGGCAATTCGCTGCCTTCGCAGGTCGAGAGCCCAGCTGCGACTCACCACTCGTTTCCAATTCAGGGAAGACCTGGAGCCGGTTTCTCATCCTGTTTGCCGTCTGGAGTTTGAAGATCACGGGGACAGGGTGAGGCCCTAAAGAATTCCACAGCTCCTCTGGTGCCTTCTCCCCGATGTTGTTCCACACGACGATCACTTTGTGCAGGTGTGGGATTGCCTGATAGTGGTTTAAAAGTCTCAGCAGGAGATCCGTCCTGTTGTAGGTCTGCATGATGAGAGTGAAGGCATCCGTGGCAGACTTGGCCTGGGATTTTACCTCCCGGCGCATCGTGAGCACCTTGTCTTCTTTGATAGTCGGAAGTAAATTTGTCAGCGCGCCAGCGACCAGTAGGAGCACAAGGATAACCACCAAGGAGAAGCGCAGCCCTCTGATGCCCATCACTCTCCCTGGAAGCTTGCAGAGGTGGCAACACCTGCAGGAACATTCAATGCAGAACAAGGTCACTTCCACTTGTCACCACAGTTTGGGCTCTGTTTCTCCCAGGAAAGAGAGAGGGTCATCTTATTTTAATGGATGCCAATGCTCGCCTCTCTCTTTGATAGGTGATCTGGCCGAAGAGATAGAAAGGGTAGTCAAATATCCCCTCCCTCCTGTGTCTGCTGAGTCTGTACACATCAAAGAAGGAGAACTAAACATTACATTTAAAAACATGTTCTTGGTTTACATAATTAAAATTTGGAACGGAGATGATTATTTACCAAATGGGATTGTTTTCCTTGGTAGCACATTAACTTAAACTTCCTTTTTATCTAAAGGAAAAATAAACCTTTTTCCCCAAACAAAATCATATGCAGATTCCTAAGACATAAAGCAGATAGAAACAGTAATGGCAACTGCAAACATTAGTAGTGGTCTTATTATTTATCAGGAACTTCACATGCCATCTTGTTGCTCTGTGCCTTACAGTCGATTCTGACTCATAGGGACGCTATATGATAGAGAACTACCTCTTTTATTTATTACTTAATGCTTTATTTATTTATTTAATCATTTTACTGGGGACTGCTACAACTATTACCACAATCCTACATCGATCTATTGTATCAGGTACATTTGTACTTTTGTTGCCATCATCATTTTCAAAACATTTTCTTTCTACTTAAGCCCTTGGTATCAGCTTCTCATTTAAAGTGAATCCTTATAACCACTGCAAACCCCAGCATAAATGATCTCAACTGCCCTTCAGAATAAAGAGCCTGACTGAAAATTAAAAAAATAAAGAAATGAGAGAATGACCTTAGAGGGTTCCTAGGCTGGGATCTCTATGGAAGCAGATGGACAGGTTGTTTTCCTCTATGGATCCACTGGTGGATTTGAACTGCCCATCTTAAGCCCTACTGTACTTGTTCACTCGACCAATCAGACCAACAATGACTAAGAGTGTTTTTTGTGCCAGGCAAGGTGGAAGGTTCTATGACTACGTAAACGAACGCTACCAACCTAGTCTCTGCTGTGAGGAGCCATGGAGAGAGTAGAGACAGACAGATAAGCAAACGAACATATTCAAAAGGTAATTTGGGATATTGATAAGTGCTTATGAAGAGAATAAATCAGAGTGACAAGCTAAGCCAGAGCCAGATTATTTGTGTCTTTATTGGGGGTAGGGATTTTATTCTATTAGACGGTGGGAAGGCATGGGAGAATTTGCTTAGGAGAGTGACATCATCTAATTTAACTTCTACTATTATTCTCCCCACTGAACAGTTCAGGTGCTTGGAGGTTAAATAACTTCTCTAAGCTTACTAAACAACTTAAGTAACAGAGCAAGGACTTACATCCAGGAAAGTCTGACCCCCAAACCTTCATTATGGGCTCTGGATGTCTACTGCCTGGATACAAATCCAAGCCAAATGAAACCCATTTCACTGCACGTGTTGCCATGTCTCCTTCACTATTCTTAACAGATCTTTTTATGAGGGGGTACCCCCACCCCCCAAAATATGGAATCCCCCCCCCAACTTTTTAACAAAGCAACCTATCACCTTCAAAGTACTCTCCGTTACACTTAATATATTTGTCAAATCTGCGATTCCATTCTTGGAAACATTTTTCAAACTCATCTGTTTGGAGGGTTGACAGTACCTCTCTCCTTTTTCTTCGTGTCTGTTACATCATCAAATCGCTATCCTTTCATGTCCCTCTGCATTCGAGGGAACAAAAAGAAGTCACATGGAGCAAGGTCAGTTGAGTCAGGTCCCTGGGGCAAGAGAGGCCAAACTTGTGCATGGAGATGGCTGCGTGAGCAGGTGCACTGTTGTGGTGGCATAACCAGTCCCTCGTCAGGCACAAATCTAGCTTTTGTTGCACACTGTTATGCAATCTTTTCAGAACCTCAAAATAGAAAGATTGATTAAGAGTCTGATGTGGTGGAACGAACTCCAAATGCACCGAGTGGACATATTTGTACATTCAGGAAGTTGATGGACATCCAGAATAAGGTTTGTCATCAATCGGCATTTCACCTTTTTTTGAAATGAGAAAACCACTCATACACTTGAGTTTTTCCCATAGCGCTGTCCTTGTAAGCTGTGTTCAACATCACAACAGCTTCTGCGGCACTTTTCCCAAGCAAGAAATAAACTTTCACAACCGCACACTGTTCTCTTAAATCGACCATCACAAAAATGAGGTTCGAGTGAAATTGCTTTGATGAAAACATTCACTGTGACCACAGAGAACCTTCCCAGGACCACTGGGTGCACTGACTCAGAGCGAGTTGCTTGACGCTCGCCAAGTGGGGAAATGCGTACCACCATGGCTCTGCTAGCACAATTCTGGTTTTGGGGGGTACCCCCTCATGTTTGTTTCCAGAGTTGTCACAAAAACAGTAGCAGAACAAGTCATGATGTCACTAGCCAAAAGGTTTTTATTTAAAAAACTCTCAATTATGTCTATGACAATAAGTTAAATCTCAGTTTTAGAGTGTCCTAGGCTCATCTCCCACCACACGTCTCTCAGTTTGTCACACTGTGGTGGCTTGTGTGTTGCTGTGATGCTGGAAGCGATGTCACTGGTATTTCAAATGCCAGAAGAGTCAACCAAAGTGAATAGGTTTCAGTATATCTTGCAGACTAAAAACAGACTATCAAGAAAGAATTAGCTGCCCACTGGAGAGGAAGCAGTCACTGAAAACGTTCTGCACAGCACGGAGCATTGTCAGATGTCGAAGGCCTGCTGAATGGCAGCAGCACATTGTTGGGCATGGTGCCCAAGATGGGTGCTCGGCTCAGAAGGCAGCTCAGGAGGAGCTGCGTTTTCAAAGTAGGTCGACCTTGGTGACATGAACAGGAAAAAGCCTGTGAGAGGAACGTGTTAGGGACCCTCATTTGCTGATGAGGCACAGCTCAAGAGGAGAAGAAAAGCTGCACGAGTCTACTAAGAACCGGAACTTGGGATGTAAGAAGTACGAAATCTAGGAAAACTGAAAGCCGTTGAAAATGAAATGGCATGTACAAAGATCCATATCCTAGAAGTTAGTGAGCTGAAATAGATTGGTTTGGCCATTTTGAAACAGAAAATTATATGGTTTACTATACCGGGAATGACAGAATCAAAAAGAACAGGCTGGCATTTATTGTCAAAAAGAACATTTCAAGATCTGTCTTGGAATACAGTTCTATATCGGATTATATCTACCACGTTCAAGGAAATCCAATCAATACTACCATTATTCAAGTTTATGCACCAACTACAAAAGCTAGTAATGAAGAACTTGAAGAATTCCACCAATGATTACAGTCAGAAATTGATCAAACATACACTCAAGATATGTCGATAATTATTGGCGACTGGAGTACAAATACTGGAAACAAACAGAACAGTAGTTGGAAAATATGGACTTGGTGACAGAAACAAAACTGGAATTCACATGACAGAATTTTGCACAAGCAATGACTTGTTCATAGCAAATACCCCCCCCCCCCCCCACACACACAAAAGATAGCTCTACCCATGGACTTCTCCAGATGGAATACACAGAAATCAAATTGACTCATCCGTGGGGAGGCGATGATGGAGAAGCTCAATATCAGCAGCTAAAACCAGGCCGGGGTCTGACTATGAGACAGACTACCAATTACTCATATGTAAGCTCAAGTTGAAACTAATGAAAATGAAAAAAAAAAATCCATGAAAGCCAAAATACGATCTTAAGTCTCTCCCATGTGAATTTTGAAAACATTTGAAGCACAGATCTGATGCATTGAACACGGATGACAAAAGGCCCAGTGAGTATGGGGGACATCAAGAACATCATTCATGAAGAAAGCAAAAAGGTCATGAAAAAGACAGGGAAGTGGATATGAGAAGAGACTCTGAAACTTGATTTTAATGGGAGAGTAGCTAAAGTAAATGGAAGGAAGAATAAAGTCAATGAGCTGAACAGAAAATATCAAAACTGCAGGTTGAGAAGACTAAGTAAAATATTATAATGAAATGTGCAAAGACCTAGAGTTGGAAACCAAAAAAAAAAAAAAAAGCAAGAACATACTGAGTACACCTTAAATCGAAAGAACTCAAGAAAAAATTCAAGACTATCATGGAACGATTTTATGGGCAAAATATTGAATGATGCAGGAAGCACTCAAAGATGGGAAGAAGACATAGTCACTGTACCAAAAAGAACGAGTCAACATTCAAACATTTCAGGAGGAAAGAACAGTGGTGCTGAAGGAAGAAGCTCGAGCCACACTGATGGCATTGGCCACAAACAAGGCTCCAGGAATCGATGGAATGCCAACTGAGATGTTTCAGCACGCTGCTGGAAGCACTAGGTCCAGAAATTTGGAGAATAGTTACTTTGCCAACTGACTGGAAGAGATCTATATTTATGCCCATTCCAAAGAAAAGCGACCCATCAGAATGCTCAAATTATAGAACAATAACATTGATATCAATGCAAATAAAACCTTGCTGAAGATCACCCAATAACAGTTGTAGCAGTACATTGACAGGTAACTGCTAGAGGTTCAGGCAGAATTTAGAAGAGGTCATGGAACACGAAATGTCATAGGGATGTCAGATAGATTTGGGCTAAAAGGAGAGAATACCAGAAAAATGTTTATTTTTTTTGTTTCATTGACTATGCCAAGGTATTCAACTGTGTGGATAATAACAAACTCTGGATAGTTTTGAGACAGATGGGAATTCCAGAACACTTCATTGTACTCCCTAGGAACGTGTACATGGATCCAGAAGCAGTTGTGTACACAAGGGAAGACTGCATGGTCTAACATGAGGAAAGGTGTGCGTCGGGATTATATCCTCTCACCATATTTATTTAGCGCATATGTGGAGCTAATAATCAGAGAAACTGGCTTATATAAAGAAGAATATATGCCATCGGGATGGGAGGAAGGCTTATTAACAACCTGAGAAACGAAGACAAAACCTTACTTGCTGAAAGTGAAGCCC